GAAACTTGCCTGCTTTTGAGCTTGCATCTGTTTTTAGCTTCTCAAATCTCTACCACTGCAATGAAACTTGATATTTCCCTGGCTCTGACTCCACAATTACCTCTATGTCTTTACTACTTGCCTCTCTGATTTGTACCTGACCTCCAATGTGTCTGTGCCATAGCTGTCAACTTTTCCCTTTTCTTGCGAGGAATCCTATTTGGAATAAGGGAATTTCCCTTTTAAAAAGGGAAACATTGACATCTATGGTCTGTGCCATGTCTCTGGCTTTTCTTATTCTTGTTCAAAAATACTTGAACTGGACCCCAGTTGTAGGTAGTGATCGCTGAATTTGATGTTTTCAGTTTCTAGCAGTTACTCATTCCTCTAACCTCAAGACATGTTGCCACATTTGCTCACTAGTTTTCAAAACCTCATGAAGCTTTCTGAAAAGTTCAGTGTGCACGACTCTCCATGTGCATTTTTCTATGCAAATGTTATGTGTGCATACACATACAGACACATTTCTGCAAGCAGTTTCTCCAACATATTGTATTTGGTATGCTATTTGCACTAAGGTATGCATTTTAATTAATGCGCATTCCCTGCACTGGGACCTCCTGATTAAGGGCAGGTAATAAATGTAATAATCACCATCATTATCATCATATTTTCTGTACACTTTTTAAAAAAATTGAAACGCTGCATTACAAATTCTAGAGGAGTGCAAATTTCAGTGGCTATCTGCCTTTTGGTCCATGTATTATTTCAGGAAGTCCAAATTAAGTAAGGTAAATTCACATTAGAATGGGTTCAGAATCTGCTAAATTTCAGACAAATAGATCCAGGGCTGGGCTCCTTTGAAAACCTGAGATGCTTTGCCAACCCCACTCTTATTGATGTGTTCAACATTTTTATTGTTTTATGCTGTGTTTCTGTTCTGAAATTTTTATATCCATGTGTGGTTTGTAAATATTTAAATAAATAAAGTAAATGAGACTTTATATGAGAGGGGGGCAGTAACGGGGATTTGCTTTCTGGGTAAAATAATTCCCTCTGATTCTGAATCTGACCTGTTTGTTGTAATGAAGCTGTACTTCCACCTTCCCCTGTCACCCCATCCTGGTGTTATTCCTTACATGTTAAGCTCATAGACATCACTTTCTTTATAAGACATAATAAGATATAGACATAATCTGTTGTATTTTTAATTTATTTGACATTCTTATTGCCGATGCAACATGAAATACTTCAGGTGTCCCTGCTTCAACCTTTGCAATACGGTGGTACCTCTGGTTATGAACTTAATTCGTTCTGGAGGTCTGTTCTTAACCTGAAACCGTTCTTAACCTGAGGTACCACTTTAGCTAATGGGGCCTCCCGCTGCTACCACGTGATTTCTGTTCTCATCCTGGGGCAAAGTTCTTAACCCGAGGTACTACTTCCGGGTCAGTCTGTAATCCGAAGTGTTTGTAACCTGAGGTGTTTGTAACCTGAGGTACCACTGAATCACATAGATCTCACCCCACTTCTGACAAGCACTCCAAGGCACTTCTCTTCAGCTCAAGGTTTGGGATTTGTCCAAATCCAATACATGCTCCAATTTTAAAATCTTGCCTTTTTGGTGGTTAAAGATTTTCATTTCTCTCAACTTTTGTTTTATTTTTGTTTAACTTAACTACATTTTAATATTGCATTGCAGATTTCTAATTCTTATGTATACCTGAGAATTTTTATCCTGCAAATACAGGTCCTATAAACAATTAATTTTCCATTTAAAAGAATTTTTATTATTATTATTATTACACAGTGTTATTGCTGGAAAAAATATAACGAGGGCAAACCACCAAGTAAAGGATAATTGGATTTATCCCCCCAGCTATGTTAATCTGCCCATTAGAAATGCTATCTGGTTACACATTAAATAGTCGTCAATTTGCATGTAGCTAGAAGCAGCAAAGTGCACCGATAGCATTAGTTGGTGACTCCTGACACTTAAATGATCTTCCAGACTTGTAATATTTCACAGTGGCATTTGCTGTCTAAGCTACTTAGGCACGTAATGTTATTCCTTATAGGTGTGCATATGGGAGAAAAAAATATTTTTAAAATCACTTCTAATACAGTTGCAATTTGAGTGCATCAAGTGTTTTTATAGAAGCCCGAGTGGACGGCTAGGCTATAAGTACACAGGTTGCTTGAGCCTCTCCTGGTAACAATCACTCAGCCATTGATATGCAGACAGCAAAGCTCTTGTCAAGATTCAAATGCTAATCACTGCATGCTGGGAAATTCAGTTGTTCCCAGCTGTAGTTGAAAGCAGCATGAAGCCAGAAGCATATGATTAGAACCAGGATTTAACAGGTCTAAGATTCCCTCTGCAAGATGTGTGTGTGTGTGTGTGTGTGTGTGTGTGTGTGTGTGTGTGTGATGAAGCCAGTGATGAGTCCAGGAAAAATTTACAGACCATGTAACTACAGCATTTTTAAAAACAAATCACAGCTAAAGAAACAGATACCCAGAGATGGTATCACAAATTCCCTGCATGCCTTAAATTAGAGTCTAACAACACAAACATGGGCTCTGGCTAGAGCATATGCAGTGGTACCTCAGGTTACATACGCTTCAGGTTACAGACTCCACTAACCCAGAAATAGTGCTTCAGGTTAAGAACTTTGCTTCAGGATGAGAACAAAAATCGTGCTCTGGCGGCGTGGCGGCATCAGGAGGCCGAATAAGCTAAAGTGGTGCTTCAGATTAAGAACAGTTTCAGGTTAAGTATGGACCTCCGGAACGAATTAAGTACTTAACCTGAGGTACCACTGTATATGAAGTTGCTTTCTGCACCCTACTGGTGTATACCATTTTAAATGAAGTACAGCTCAGATACATGCACCATTTATTGCCTGCTGATAAAATCTTAGCATTCTATGATTTATTTATTTTTAAGTGTCATATATCAGGGGGCATAAAAGCTAACAACTGACAGAGTTTTCCATCTGGTTGAATTTGTGGACATTCTACCATAGGAAATTGCCATTGGTCCATGTAGCTCAGTATTGTCTTCAATGATTGGCAGAAACGATCCAGGGTTTCAGGCAGGGGTATTTTGCAGCTCTACCCAGAGATGCTGGGGATTGAATTTGGGACAATTTGCATATAAATTGCCTCTAAGCTACAACCATTACCACCAAATGAAATCCATTATTTTGATATTCTAGATATGAGGATAGCAACTAATATAAGAACAAAATATGGAAAGCTTTGCCATAATTATGTAATGAGATGTTCATCATGATTTAGGTGTCTGGTCCAGCAACAAAATAGTCAACTGAGAGCCCCCCAAAAAGCTGAAAAGAGAGTCTTACAGCCAGTTTTCAGGGGTGCAGATAGGGTGTCTGCCTTTTGCAGGAGGAAATATCTTCCAGTTGCATATCAGTATCTTTAGCTCTAAGTTATTATTTATTATCTATAGAGCATCATTAACGTACAAATCATGTATGGGGATTTGTGGAGTAACTTCACCACAGCAAGGTATACAGGAATGTGATTTATGTCAACAGAAGATGAATTGTGGATGCAATCTAACTCCAAGCAGTTGGGTGATCAGGGATAATGGAAATTGTAGGCCAGCAGCACCTGGAGAGCAACTCATAGGCTATTCCTGTATTAAAATGTTGGTATTCTGGTTGCTTTCACAGCTCAGACCGAGGCAGGAATATTATATTATGCACTCTAAGCACTCTTACAGACAGAACTGCAACCACTGCTCTTATTACGGTATTAGGCATGCTATATAGCAGAAACAAGATATTTCTCTAATATAATAAATCTCAACCTCCATAGTTCAGTTCCATATATATGATGGCAGAAGCACTTACAGAAGGCTTTCTGCTGAAGGTCTGAAGTGATGGGAAATTATCTACAGAGATGTGCTTTCTTCAAGTATTCTTATTCATGACCAACAGTACAGAATGTCTTGAGCAAATAAGGAGTTGATTGATCTCCACTGCAGCATATTCTAGGATCTCTGAAACTCCCTAATAGAGTTTGAGATTTCAGGAAGCTAAAATTGCTGTGAATTTACTCAAAGTTGCATTGCTCAAGACCAGGTCTCTTGAATGAAGAAAAGTTATGAAAACCACACCCTACATAAACAACTAACCATGTCCTTGATCCCATATAGGTCAGGTCAGGAAAGGGGGTCGATTCAAATTTTGCAACATCCTATGGGCATTTCTGAAATACAGGAATGCCCAACTACAAAATGGTGCAATGGAACTGAAGAGCATCTCTCCTGATTGCCTGAGGATGATTAAGCTTCACACAGAGGTCATGACTTGTGTAGCCACTACAGCTGACTCACTGGACCAAGCTCTTAATTCTTTTACCATTTCCTGATCCTTGCCCAATAAATCTCTACACATAATTGCAAAATGACACCAACAGGGAGTGGGAGTTGTTTGTACAACTACTATTTAAAGTTCAATCCTCACCTTCTTTCCAAAGGGGCACAAGGCAACAACCACCAAAATGTTAAAACAGTAATATAAAAAATGAATAAAAACATACATGTTTGCATAAACAAAAATGTTTTTAGGTTCCTCCTGAAAGTTAATAATGTGGTAGACCCATGCACTTCACCAGGGAGGACATGGGTCCATGCCAATTGGGCAAGTTGGGTCCTCCATCATGGAGGGCACGTGTTGCGGTGAGATCACCAGAAACTTGCTTTCCTTTACTGACATATGGTGGTGCCCAGTGTCAGTCCTGTTCCTGCCACTGTGCAGGTTAAGGTAGTCTGGAACCAATGCCTAAGCAACCACTCACATGCTGTAATCAATAAAGTTATGCCCAAAATTTAATGCCAAAAAACCTTAAACTAAAATCTGTGTCTATTGTGTATTCATTTGGGGGTGGTTTTGGGGTGTCTTCACACACAACAAGCAGGGGCAGCACCACCAACAGGGGCTGCTGTTCTGATTGTAGGGACTTTGATGGTTTAGATGTGCCAAATATTGTGAGATGGCTCAGTTGGTAGAGCATGAGACTCTTGATCTCAGGGTTGTGGTTTCAAGTCCCTTGTTGGGGAAAAGATTCCGGTATTGCAGGAGGTGGACTAGATGATCCTCATGGTCCCTTTCCAACTCTCCAGTTCTATGAAGCGTGTTCTCCTTCATGGAGAGCACGTGTTGCGGTGGGGTCTGCTGAGCCACCCCTCTGTTACCAGGCAGGGTCTCTAAAGATGGCCTGGGGCAGTGATTGGTTCACTGGGTTGCTGGGGTAAAAGTTGCAATTTTGGTGGGAGGGGTAAAATGTTTAAATACTCTGCACGCAGCCTGGAGCTTTCTCTTTGCTGCGTGCAACGGATCACCCGCCCACCCGCCCTTGAGTAAGGGGTTGTTGCATTGACCTTGCTATGCCTGTCATGGGGTCGTCTGCCGTTGGGGCAGGGGCCTGGTAGGAATTTTGTCCATCTGGCTGATTGGCTGGGCCATTTGGTTTTTGCCTACTGCGTAGCAAATCGTCACAACTTGTAAGGTTGCAGTTAGGCATTGGTTATAAATTGGTGGAGGAGGGGTTAGGATAGGCTGGGCCTGCCCCTCCATGGTTGCTGCGGAAAGGGAATTCCGTTAAAGGAATCCTGGGGCTTGCCATCTTTTCGTCCAATCCCTGGAATGGGACTAGGGCCGGCAAGCCTTCGGGGAGCATGCGGATGAGAATTGAGGGTCTGTGACCCAGCTCCATTTCTCTCCGACTTGCTTCCCCCGCACTGTCTTTCGGTGGTGCCCGGAAGTCAGTTCTGTCCCCAGGCAGGGGGACAGATAGTCTTAACCAATGCCTAAACAACCACTCACAGTTTTGTATTTAAATAAAGTTGTGGCCAAAATTATGCCAAAAACCTTAAACAAAAATTAAGTGTGCGTTGTGAGTTATTTGGGGGGTGGCTTGGGGACCTCGACACGCAATGCTACACGGGAGAAGCAGTCAAGCAGCTGGGTGCCAAACCTTTCGGGCTTTTTATGCCAATACTAATATATTGAATTAGGGCTAGTAGCTCACTGGTAGTCATCAGGACTGGAGAAAACAGTCCCCACTTGCCACCAGCAGCCTTATTCTGCACTAGCTGGAGACTCTGTACTGTCTTCAAATACAGTCCCACATAGTCCAGATGGGACAATGGGAGGTCATGTGAGTATGGGCAACTGAAGTGAGGCTATCCTGTTCCAGGAATAATTGGAGCTGGCAAATATGTCTAAACTGGGCGTAACTATTACTAGCCACAGAAGTCACTTGAAACCCCAGTGACAGGAGCCTATGATCCTGTTCCATTATGGGGAGAGCCATCCCTCCCCAGACAAGTCACCCACCTAATTTCCAGGCACGGATAACTACTTTCACCAAAGCACCATAACCTCCCCCCACTCCCCGCCATCTCATTCTTATTTAAAGAGTTAACTCTAATGGTTCAGTCTGCTGCTGCTGGAATGCTGGCGACATATTTGCTTTCCAGGAACACTCAGGCTTACCTTGTAGCATGTTTAATATTAAAGACTGATGCTTTAAGCAATGGGAAAGATTACTTTAAAAATGGTATCTTATTCCAACTGACATTTAATTCATAGTGTGCTTATTAATTTTGGATAACAAATGGTTTCTTTGGGATTGTTATTTGGTCAGGCCACATTTGAGAATGACTGAAAATGTAATTAAGTGGCGGCCATTGGCCTCTGTCAAGTATGAAGAGAAAAAAACTGGAGTCAGATTATCCTGAGTTCCCTGGGTTGTCTCCTTTTGGGAGATCTGGATAAGAATCTGCAAGCTAATTTGTTTTTTCTTAAGTTGTTTTGTTTCCACAGGGCCTTTTTTGATGTAAGGTTCTCTTATTCCACTTTTAAAGTTTTTGGAATGTCTAAAACATTTACTAATTTCCCTTTTCCCTTTGAGGTAACTTTAATAGTAGCTCAATTGCAAGGAAAACAGGAACAAAGGAAGCAGTCTTTAGGGATATTAGATAGGGCAGAAATGACGTCCAGGAGAAATGTGGCGCTTGGGGAAGTCAATCGAAAAATCGGGGTGGTGGGGTTTTTTGGCATTTTGTAAAAAAAATAAATGCTCAATAACTTTTGGGGTGTCCTGGTTTTTACTTTTTGAAATATGGCAACCCTGTGTTAGAAGATTTATGTTCCAGTGTGTATTCATCACAACCAGTCCTATTTCCATTCCACTCCAGTTTTGATTTCCGCTATGTTATTAATCTTACTATCTGCTATTTAATGAAAGACATATAAGTTATCTACCTGATACAAATATTTAATTTCAATGTAAAGAAACAGCAAAACAATGTAAAAAAGGTCATTCATTACATATTGTTTTTTGACTTAACAACAGTATGTACAAATATCTACCATATTCAGCTGCCTGATTTCCATTCCTGACCACAGATGTGGCCTGCTGGAATGAAATGGGATGGTCGAGGACTCACCCCATCACAATCTTTACCATTGGATTGCCATTTCTATGTACTGGACTTTGAAGATGTAAGAATATATTCAGACAATTCCAAACCTCTCCAAACTTTCTTTTAAATCCTCCATACAATGAAGTGGTTGTTAACAGTAAATATGCAGCCAGGAATTTTGAGTGAGACAGTACGGATATCCACCTCAAAGGACACACTTCCGCTTTAATTAGGCTGTTTTACGAATCAGTTCACTATATAATTCTCTATTAATACAATTTTTACTAGATGTTTTAAACATATTCTACTGTGTTTGATTGGCAATACTTCCCAACTCATTCTTTCTGTGGAAGCTCCTCCACCCCATGACTCAATAACGAAACGATCAGCCATTTTGCACCATGGAGTAGCAAACATGCATTGCTAGGGATTGACACCCATGGCATTCCTAGGTTGTTTTCGGGAAAAAACACTGAATATATTTTCTAAGACAATGTTAAATTATCTTGGGGATTTCAGGCTGTATGCAAAAGTAGGAGGAACTTACATGTTATTTTGGCAATATGCATGATTTTTCTTTCTTTTTCTAAAAGAAATCCAATCCAGTCATGTTTGAACAGTAATATGTTACAGTGGAATTGCCCTGTGTCAACTGCTAGAAAATTTATAATTCATTTTGTGAAAGTAAAATCATTTGTCTTCCATCTTGCATGAGTAGATGCACTGAAAGCTCCTTTCTTACATCCTACCCAATTCTTTCAAATTATTTTAAGTTAGCAGAGTCATTCTTCCTATGTTTCAGAGAAGCAAAGCAATTTTAATGATACAGCAAATAAGCAAATCAAACATTCTCTAAACCTGATTTCAGGGAACTTCTGCATAATCTGACATGTCCATCAGACTCAAACTAGCCTTATTCTAGATCACTGATGAAAAATCCCTCAGAACCACACAGCCAATCAGAAGATGTGCTGCCTCACAAGAGCTCATGCCACTCTGCCTGGTTGCTAAGCAACCCCTCTTCCTCCACCACCAGTCAGTGGTTGGCTGACTTATTGATAACAGAATTAACCTGTCGGTAACAAACAGAATAGTCCCTGCTGTTTCACTTCCAGCATGATGACTCTTTAAATTCTGGTTTCTCTCAGTTCCTCACTTTTTACAGTGTTAAGCCCAGTTCACTTCTTCCCATTTCTGCGTCAGTTTGCTTTAAAAAAGAGGAGGGGTGTAATTTCATCTACCATACACATTGTTGTACACAATTTTGCCTAATGCTTTAGCAGAGGTTGCTGTTAGCCATTTGCTGCCATTAGCAGTCTAGCTGCTGTGTTCTGCACCAGCACAAGCTTCTGGGACAAACCGAAGGGCAGCCCTACATTATAGAACATATAGCCTTGTATCCAATGCAGTGCTAGTGAGCTTCCTGTCAGCACAAGGATTCCTGCTTGTGCAATGTGACTTCCTTCTTCATTTAATGCTGTCATTCAAAGGAGCATACAAATGAATGAATGAATGCTCTTAAATAATAATAAAAAAGCATCCAACCACTGCTTTTCCATTGGCACAGAAGAGTTGATGGGAACACTGCTATGGCAATTTGTACTCTGTAGAGAATGGAATCACCACTACCATCATTTGTTCATCTCTTATGGCAATATTTATACACATTTTTTTTATTCACCCATCCCTTTTAATTCGGTTATATAAAATCCCTCCTTATGGGTGTTTGCACACAGACTCTTGCTCTCAAGTGTATGTTTGAAAGGGATATAGCCAGACTGATGACTTTGCATTCAATTGCATTTAATTGTTGCAACAGAGTATAGATATTTAATATGGATAATGATCTAGTCATTGCTAAGTCTATATGGAGTAAAGCTTTTTGCCCATCTTCCTAAGGCTAGACAGATAAATAGATGGTCATTTCCAGCCTTTAGTTGGGGATGAATTTATCACTACCCCTTGAGTAGGAATTTTTAGGGGTGCTATCTGATTGGCCTTTGGGGACATCCTTTTTTTCACTGAGTTAACACTGCTTTAATTCAATTGGCCTGCAGTGGTTTGAGTTTAATCTGGCTTTTGGCATGTGCTGTGGGCAAGTAAGTGAATTTTAACATAGCAAACACCCTGAGGTATGGTGCAGGCGGGAAGGAGAAGAGATTTTAGCAGTCAAACCTAACAATGCATATATGCTAGTTAGTACATGAAGGGGTTAAGGACTACAGAGTTCTAATTGCTATATGAGGCTCAGTGAGATCACATCTTCTTTTCTCCTGTGAGGGAGGAAGTAAAGTGCATTCATGTTCCCTATGCTCTTACTCTCTCACACGTCTCTCAATACCTCTCAGATTCAAACATATGTCTGAAGCTAAGTTTGCTGTATTTCAACTAAGAATATTGTTACCTGCATAATTTTATTCCTATTGCATAAGGAAAGATGCATGACTAAGACATATAAACTGTGAGTAAAGCGTTTTAACTTACTTCACACTCTGTGGTCTGTTTGATTGTAAAAAGGGTGAAATGGTGTTCCACTGCTTCTCATAGCTTAGAGGAATAAAATAAGGTTTATTAGTCACATTAATGAAGCATGTGAATAGGCTAACAATGGGATTTAGTACTTTGCTTCTGGT